TTTTTTTTTTTTTTTAAATCTCTGTTTAATTCTTTCTGACTGCTGATAACCACTATTCAATTCAGTCTTTTTCTACTAATGTTAAGATATATTTTTAAAAAGTCAGATCAAATATACATCAGAAAAACCTTGAATTTAACACACTGCTTTTATTTTATAACCTCTTATTACTTTTGAAAAATTAAAAAAAATTTTTAATCATATGTATTTTATGGTTATTTCAAATTTACTTTTTAACTGCAAATAGCCCCATGGAGCACATGCAGTACTTTCTTGGCCCACTAGGGGGCTGCAGGCTACATTTTGGGACATTGCATCAAATAAAATGGCACCAAACAAATGAAAAAAAAAAATTTGTACTTCACAGGCATCACAGGCATGATGGCGAACAAATCGGGAATGTACTAAAGAAGCCACAAAGAACAAAGAAAGCACCATAACCTGTGGTGTGTATGAGTGAGACTTTGGATACTGGCATGTGCTGTAATGTGTGGCTGTGTGCACATTAGAACTGTAACAGAGCGATTTGATATATGCACTTGTCTTTTCCTGTCCGTGTAGATCACTACCTCAAGGCTCAAAGTAACACCCATCTGTTAAATGTATTAACAGTGTATTTTATGCAGGCCTGTGTGCCGGACACAGTAGTTGGTTAAGAAAAATAACGTAGTGGAGGTTATTGCCATCACACATTTTAGATTTGCACTGTTTCTTTCTATCTTATGAGGAAAAAAAAAACAGCTTGAGCCTGCTTCTTGAGTAAGCATAATGAAGGCTTTGATATGAATATGTTGCAGATTAACAAAAGTTGCATTTGTTTTGTTTTCTTTATTTGCTGTCATTAATATATTGCCCGATCAGGCCTGTTTGAGTTTGTTATACATTTATTGGCAAATATGGATGAAAGCAACGCTGGTGTTGAGGTTGTATATAGGGCTTGTTTTCTACGCTCTCTGTACTATATATTAAGCCCTATATTTTGTTCCACATTACACGGTGGTACTATAATAAAAACAATGTCTATTTTTTCTTCATTTAATGACAAATTACAGTATATTGTGTGTTTATACAACATAAAACACATTCAATATTTAAAAATAAAATAAAAACAAACTAAAACGGTACACTTTATATAAAAAGAGGGATGAACGTTTTGTCTGAAATGTGAAACCACTGCTGATGTACCTTAAACCAGCCTCATTTCTAATGAACAGCAGGGGCCAACTGGTTGCAAAAGTTAAAGTAAAATTGTTTTTATATATAGCACTTTCAAGATAAACATTACAAAGTGCTTCACAACAAAACACTAGAAATAAAGACATAAATGATACCCAAAGGGAAGTTTGAAAAGATGACTTCTTAGCTGCTTTTTAAAAGAGATCACTGAGACCACAAATCCCACGGTCTGACTGTGTATAAGTCTATAAAAAGATTTATTGCCTACAGCATGATGTTAAATTTGCAAGTTATATTCACATTTACAGTAAAATAGGTGAGAAAGAGGGTACGTTTTATGGTGTTTCCAGCCTGTTTCTAAAACTCCCAAGATGGGTCTTCACTAACTTTAAGGGTGACATCATAGTGGCTACATCCCTCTTTTCCACACAGTTGCTGTAAAACTAACTACGTCCCAGTATAAAAACATAATCACCCCCACAACATTGTTTGATCCTTGGGTGCACTAGTGGGACTTTTTCCTCTCCTCGCAGCGAGGTCCAGAGAAAGGAGGTCGACAGCGACATTTGTTGGGAGAAACGCACTTCCCTCCGTGCAAGCAGGGCTGACTGCATACAGCTACGGACAAAAGAAAACAAAAGCACAGGTACTATTTGTAAAACCAGGGGAATGGGAAATGAGTGAAGAGCTTGTAAATTCTAGCATCATAAACTCCAGCAGCTGGTCTCAAAGGTGTGAAGTGTTGTGACATCTGGAAATACACTAAGCCGAAAAGCAAATCCAAGGTGCAAAGAAAAAAATCGGGTATGTAAAATGCACTGGTGTGAGAATAGTGCAACGTAGTCAAGAGAGCAGAAAGTACCGGAACTGGATGAAATGAAAAAGACTTTATCATAAGGAATAAATGCTCCCAGTGAAGGGCCAGCATCAGAATTGGGGTCATAACACGACTCCGTACATCTGAGACTCCTCGATTATTTAACCCAGTCTCATCAAATGTGCACAGCAAAACGTTATCGGTCTTTGGGAACAGTGTACTCACCCATATGGCAGGCACCACCCAACCATCCCTCCGTGCAGCTGCAGATTCCTGGAGCCACACACAGCCCTCCATTCCTGCAGCCCTGGGGACAAATTGCTGCATGGGAAACAAACCATAGAGGGGTTTGCTCAGCGTGGAACAGAAATATGAAAAAGAAAAACTTACAATAAAAGTTTGTGCTTTGTGAACACATGTGAACATATTTTTATTTAATTCAGGCAAAAGTCAAATGTGAAAATTTGACATTGGTCAGACCATACAGTGGCAGTAGCGGCTGTAATGTACCATTGGTACATGCACGTGACGTTTTTCAGGCATTTTCAGCCTTTATTGGACGGTGACAGTAAAGAGTGGACAGGCAGAGATCAGGCCTTCACTATTATTATCTACAAACCCCACCGAGCTTTGCAGGTCCCTGCAGCACTTCAGCATATGGTTCACTTGCTCAAGCATCATCCTGGCCTTTATGATTCCTGCTTAACTACATATGTAACTATCCTATGACATTAGGTTTAGCAAGTGATTGGTCTGTTGTGTTGGTTGCTAAGTTAATTGTGGTTTTATGTTGATGGTGTACTTGTAAAATTAGTGCCATGCATATAAGAGAAGGAGTTCATATTAGATTTAAGCCCTCCCGGTGCCAATGACCCAATGTGTATAATGTGTATGCTAGCAAATATGGAAAATGAGCGTAGGAAGTCATCGAGTCAGCTAATGAATGAAACAGCTTTAATCCTAGAAGAGCAGCAAGGCTGAATATTTCATCTAGACCACAGAAGACGGATTGCTAGTCCAACAGATCCTTAATTTCACATGGAGAATGCATTAGTGGAAGCAGTCTAACAACAGATTTTCATCACTAAAAAATCAAGTCTGAGTTTCATTTGAAGAAAAATCTTGGTAGACATATAAAAAATTGGCTTTTCAATCTTTGCTGTTTTTTTTTCCAGTTCAAACTGAACTGCAGTTTTCTGCCAATATTACAAACTTCACCACAGCTCTCCAGCTGTTACACCTGCATGTCTGCCTCATCCACTAAGTCAGACTGACTGTTGCTTCCCTTGGTGACAGCTTCTTGGAGCCATAAAAAGCCTTAAACATCCACTAATGTCTGCAGCTGATGAACAGCTCCATTTGGCACCTTTGACCTCCTGTGTTAATTGGGTAATTAGATACAGCCACGAACCCTCCTGGCATTTTGATCCGGCCCAGCTTGAAGGGCAGATACACTTGGCCACGCCGTTGACAGCGGTGCATTCTCCTCCGTTCCAACATCCCCCATCGCACGTCACTGCAAAACACACACACGCACACACACACACTGTTCATGAGATAGTTTTACCATACCACAAAAGATTTAAGTTAATTTGGATATAAACTCCCCAAAGCACCCAGGAAATTCTTCACTACACACCATTCTGTTGGAATGCATTGACTTATGCATTCATAAACTTAATAAAACACATTTAAAAAAATCTAATCCATAAAATGTTTTAAGAAATTAGACAAACAAATGAGGCAGTACGTGAGCAACAGCTGAAAACTGTGTGTAGTATTCTGAATAATAGTAAACTGAATACAAATGAATAGAGCAGGAAAATACACCAAAAGCAAAGAATAACTGTCATCATGACACGCACACACGTGTTAATACACTTATTGTATTAGAACTGTCCCGCTCCCATGAACTCGTTTACCTTTGTGACAATATCTTCCTCCAAATCCAGGAGGACATCTGCATTTTCCAGGGCGAAGACACACTCCTCCATTTTTACATTTGGGATCACAGTTGGCTGCAAAATTATCCACCACAGTTTTTTTAATAGGCTTCAAAGTTTTGACCTTCTTTCTCAGAAGTCTTCGTCACTTTAAATTAATTTGCAACAAAATAAGTTAGTCATAAACTGGGTCAATAAATAAAGTGGCACATTAAACCATTTATTCATAGCTGAGCTTGGCACGAGGTCTTCCCTGTGCCATCATCAGAATTTGAAATTACGCGCAGATAAAAGGTTTGTCACGTCACCATACTGGCAGGTCTCTCCTTCGTAGCCCCGGGAGCAGAAGCATGTGTTGTTGCGGATGCAGACTCCGGCGTGTTCGCACGGCGGCTCGCACTTCGCTTTCAGGTCAAAGACGAAGCCGACCGCGACACCCCGGGGCGCGTCCGAGCCTCCGGAGCACACACCGGCGAGCGACATCAAAGAGGCAAACAGGAGAGGTGCAAAGAACATGGCCGGATGTGCTTTGTTGCTCAAATGAAGAGTGAAAAGAAGCGAAGCGGTGGACGGATGGAGGAGGAGAAAGTCTCCTGAAGAAACAGGGAAAACTTCTCGGCCAGGATGGTGGTGGTGAGGCGGAGCAGGGAGAGCGCCCTGGGGTGGGGGCTGGGGCTGTTTTTCAAGACTTTGGATCAAATCTATGCAGTCCATATTTGCATGAAACATATAGGTTAGACCACCGCGCAGATTACGCAGTGGGGTTACATGAAGTAAAAGTTTGACTCTGCCACAACAGATTCATAATGATGAGGTTTCCCAATAGTTTGTCTGGAGTTATGACAGAGATGCTCAAGATACTAATTAAATTAGGGCCTAAAACATGTGGATAGCACAGCTTCACCATGCTGCCCTATAGCAAAATACTCCAAAGAAGGATTTAAGAGTAATCTGATTGTATTTGCAGTCTGTTCATTGTGCAATAATTTATCTAAGGAATGCTACATGTGGTAACATAAAAAGTATTTTTATTGTTGCTTAGATTAAAGCGGTTGTGTTTCATATGTAGTTTATATGTAGCACCCACAAAGAGAGTAATATAACTGCTCCAGAATGTCTAATAAATAAATAAAAATCTGTAGTGTAGTTTGTTTTGTTTTTTTGCTAACCATAAAATAAAAATGTTTCAACAAATGTAAGAGCTCACCTGTATGAACTGTATGAAACACTGCTACCTGCTGTTTAATCCTCACTGATCCTGTGCTACATGTTTGGGACAGTCTACCATAAGGTGGCTGGATGAAATAAATGGACAAGTTTCTGGTACATATGCACATTTGTTGAGTAACTATGCTCACTATACTTGGTATCTTCTAGTACAACATTTGCTTCACAAAATGAGACACAAAAGATGATGCACAACTGATTTTGAAGGTCATCAGTTGACCTAATATATCTACACACATTCAGGAAGCTCACTTTACCCAAATATTTAACTTTATTAAAGTTACATAGCATCTATAACTAGTGGTATTTAAACAACATCTTACTCACTTCTGTTATAACAGCAAGGACTGATTTCTAAGGCACATAATTCATAATTGGTGCAAAGTATTATTTTTCATGGCTACACATCTAAGGTTTTATTTTGGTTTAAAGAAACTGCTGTGAAATATGCAACAAAAGAAAAGTGCAGTATTTTATACTGAGTACATATTTCACAGCGATGTTGACAAACTATATCTAAAAGACTGTAGAATCACTTTAAATGTCTATGATTATATTTGTCAGAAAGACAGAGTTTGGGATGTTAGTCTATGTAGAGCACATATGGAAAAACCATTTCCTCTTGTTTGGTGAAAAGAAACCCTGGGCCTGTATGAAGGACGGGGTGAGGGGGAAGTTCTGTTGTAATGACAATAACACAACCAATCAGTAGCGGATGTGGTTCTTCTCTCTGCTCCCTTAAAGCTGTTCAGAGACCAAACAGGCAAAGTAGCTTTCTGTTTGATTCTCTGTGTTTTGCATTTTTCAGTAAAAGTGAACAGTGTTTCTTTATTCTGAGTTCTGTGAGCTCAGAATAAACAGA